TTCGAAGAGATCTCGAGATCCTGAAGTTCAGATGATGAGTTCCACCACAGTTTCGTGTAGCCCTCACCTAGCTCTTCCTGACTGCCATCTAAACTTATCCTCAGCGGCCACCTTCTCGGTGAAATGTACGATTTTTATGAGCGAAGCATTTCAAAAATGACACAGCTGTCTTTGTCGGAAGCAAAAAGCATTTGGGAGCAAAGCAACCACTTTTTGCTCAGTGGGTGGCAACAGGTTGCCGACGAAGATTATATATAAGATGCTGATCAAAATCGCTTCTCACTGGAATGAACTTGACTCCAAAAAAATTGGAAATCATCCCAAAAGTTCGAAGATATCACGAAGATTTGGGACAAACTAATACTTTCGGCAGCGTCCACCAGCGCTCGGACCGTCAGCGATTAGGAAAACATAGATACTGATTTAGTAGATTAGTCACAAGCGTCTGCCAGGCGTCCCGAGGGCTAAGGAAGTACAGGTATCAATCAAGCGCCAGCCAGCGTCCATCAGCGTCACCAACATTCACAAGCGATTTGGAGTGGAGAGTATGGGAAGTAAGAGGGCAAAATACAGTTGGATTAGGCGTCGTGAAGTTGCGGCATGTGCAACAGCACCGCACAACTGCCAATGCAGAGAATGATGCAATATAATGCACGGTATAGTGTGGTTAAGCGGTGCGATTGCGAACGCCGCAATTCCGCTGTCCCTAATCCAGCTGTTTGCTACCCCCCCCTCTCCCCACCTACTTCCCGTACTCTGTAATCCCCGGTCGCTGTGGACGCTAGAATTGATGTCTATATTTTTTCTCTTTCGCAGTGATGGACGTGACGAAATTTTTTATTACTGCCGATGCACCGAATTACCGGCTTAGGTCATCGCAACTCGAGCGGCTGAATCGCTAATCGTCACGAATTGTGAACGGTGCTTAAAGACACATTGGTACGCTCAACACATTGAGGGTGTATGAGACTATCAGCCCCCAGCTGTCGATGTGTCGTGGTCCCCCGCCCAAACATGCCCAGGAATGGAGATACAGGACCGTGAAACACGCTAATTCCTCCATGCTCCGCCTTTGCGGCGCAGATTCCCCCGTCCTTCATAACATCCTCGTAAGCGCGCCTGTCGCGTGCGGCTCCTTGGCACTTTGCCAAGTCCTTTAATTGCGCTCTCAAATACGAGTAAAACAATTTCCTGATGCGGATAACATTGGAGGTGCTACAAATAAGAACAGAAGATGATGGCGAGGGCCAGAACTCAAGAGAAACTCGGCTGCATTTGCAGTATCATCAGAGGCCGCGCATTCCCACAAAACATGAGAATAAAAACAACCCAAGCGTCCCACTCGTTTGTTCTAAGTATTTCTATGGCTTTGGCGCCGGATTCGCGCCGGATCGTAGAAATTTACAGGCGATTTTAACTAATTTGCCTTTCCTTGATTTTTTCGCATTTGACGGTTTTATTTACATTTACATCGTTGTGCTTCATTTCTAGCCTGTGTCATCTTCATCTCCTTGTACATGGATTTTGAAGCATGAGCAACACCTAAAATTTTATTCGCATCAGGAAATTAGCTTTTTGCTGGTATCGAAACTAATATGCCGTTTTTATTTTCATGTTTCGTGGAAATACGCCTCCGAGGGATGTTGCAGAAGTGGCACAGTTGCTTTTAAGTTCTGACCCTCGTCATCATCTTCTGTTCTTATTTTGCAGCACCTCCAAGTGTTATCCGCATCAGGAAATTGCGTTTTACTTGTATTGAAAGCGCAATTAAAGGACTTGGCAAAGTGCCAAGGAGCCGCACGCGACACGCGCGCTTACGACGGATGTTATGAAGAATTACGACGGATGTTATGAAGGACGGGAATCTGCGCCGCAAAAGGTGTAAGGCGGAGCATGGAGGAAACTAGCGTGTTTCACGGTCCTGTATCTCCATTCCTGGGCATGTTTGGGCGGGGGGACCACGACACATCGACAGCTGGGGCTGATAGTCTCATACACCCTCATGTGTGAGCGTACTATGTGTCTTTAAGTAGATGCTTTCTGGACTATATTACTTACCGCATCTGACGTCGAACTCATACCGGCTGTTAGACGCGGTTCAGGAGCTCCACGCTCGACATCATTTGTCTTCGTAACCTTGCTTGTGCTCTGAGGAATGTTTGCGCTAATGATTGAACTTTGTGGGCATTTATTGCTTTGTCACACCAGCATTTACTGGCTTTGCCACAATTGCATTATTTGTCGATGTGCTTCGTGTTACTTTCATTGGTAGAGGTGGCATAATTATTTGTGCCTCTATGAGTTTCGACGGACCCGTCTTACAGGTTGAAGCGTCGTTCATCGTTGAGATGGACGGTGGAGCAGGAAGAGTGGACTGCTCACTTGCGGATTTTCCTGCAGTCTTTTCAGAGACTGTTAGTACTCTTTTGTGCCTCCATGAGTTTCGACGGACCCGTTCACAAGTTGAAGCGTCGTTCATCGTTGAGATGGACGGTGGAGCAGGAAGAGTGGACTGCTCACTTGCGGATTTTCCTACAGTCTTTTCAGAGACTGTTGTACTCTTTTGTGCCTCCATGAGTTTCGACGGACCCGTTTCACAAGTTGAAGCGTCGTTCATCGTTGAGATGGACGGTGGAGCAGGAAGAGTGGACTGCTCACTTGCGGATTTTCCTACAGTCTTTTCAGAGACTGTTGTACTCTTTTGTCCCATGAGTTTCGACGGACCCGTTTCACAAGTTGAAGCGTCGTTCATCGTTGAGATGGACGGTGGAGCAGGAAGAGTGGACTGCTCACTTGCGGATTTTCCTGCAGTCTTTTCAGAGACTGTTAGTACTCTTTTGTGCCTCCATGAGTTTCGACGGACCCGTTTCACAAGTTGAAGCGTCGTTCATCGTTGAGATGGACGGTGGAGCAGGAAGAGTGGACTGCTCACTTGCGGATTTTCCTGCAGTCTTTTCAGAGACTGTTGTACTCTTTTGTGCCTCCATGAGTTTCGACGGACCCGTCT